TTCATCCACCACAGGCAGAGCAACTGTGGTATTTTTTGCATATGTTGGATTTGACGCAATTGCTAATTCAGATGAAGAATCTACAGGACCACAGGTACGTTTTAGGTATATGAATTTGTTTATAGACACTGCAGTCTATATATTATTACATTGTTTTTAATTTTTATTTGTTTTTGGTTGTCAACCTAATGTTTCAATGGAACTTCCCATTATGACTAATGGGAAGCCTTCTTGTTTCTTGGAATAGATGGTCCTTTGGCTGAAGCTTTCAAGTCAAACGCTTGAAATATTTGTCTGTGTTAATAGGCATTGGTTCTGTTGCTGGACTTACTTCACCCCTTCTTCTGGGTAGCAGCGTGGTGATGGTGGTGGTGGTGGGGTTTAGAGTTAGTGTTTGGATTGTGAAACCACAAGAACAAAGGAAGAAAGGAAGAAGAAGAGGGTCGAGTAAGCATGTCAGAGATGGTTGGGTTGGGTCGTTTGAGATTTTTCATATGAATTTCTGAGCACTTTGGATTAATCCTTAGCCTTGAGTTGATGCGCAATCAAAATATGGTTTTTGGGGATGGAATTTGTGGCGTCAACCTATAGGGTTTATCATTTTTCTAATTTCTTCCCTAGCCGAGTGTAAAAGATCGCCCTTTGATTTGCCAGAAGTAGAAGAAGAATTAGTAGCATGTTATCAAACCGAATATTGTATCAAATTTGGTTTATTTTATGTTGCTTCATATCTGAATCTACTGCTTTCTTCATTATTTGTAAGTTGCAAGTGGGTTTCTTCTGTTAAAAAAAAATAAAAAATCAGAATGGTTTGGAAGGTGAACATAGAGTTAATTTATAAAGTTGGGGCTCACCCAAGACAAGATTTTAATTTGAAGGTCAAATTGAAACTAGTGATATAATTTAGGGGCTATATGAGTACTTTACTTATCATATAAAATAGAGTTTTCGTCCGACACAATGGATTTGTGAATTGTAACCCAAAGGTCCATAAAAATGACCGGTAAATCTAGATGTCCTAACTTCGAACCGTTATCTTGAGGTCAAATTATCAGACATTTATTCTTCATAAATTTCTTAGACTTGACGCTTGCGTTTGACGAAATGAGAGAAGAGATTAGTTGAGGTGAAAGATTTGTGAATTGTGATCACCATGGAACATAACACAGGTCCACAACCTACATGTCCTAATCATTTTTTTATAGGACCCAACCACCTTTTTTTCAAGTCTTTTGTACTATCTCCATCTTATGAAAAACTTGTGATTCTCAATCCTATGAAAATCAGAGCAACAGTCAAATGTGGGCATTGCCATCTTTGATTTAAGAAGAAGGCAGTGTCACCAAAAAACTGGCAGTTTGAGAAGGAAACCAAAAGGAGAGGAATTATTTGATGTTTGTATGACTTCAAAGCTTCCTTTGAAAATTATGCATCCAGAGGGGGTTTGGATACGAATTGTCAAAATTTTATTTTAAAATAGTCAAAATGGTTGAAAAGTTTTTGTTTGCATGAAAATTGAAATGAATGAGTAGGTGAATATCGAAATATCTAGGTTTCGAGGTGTTTGGGTATGTTTTGACGTGTTTCGGTTAATATTTGGAATGCTTCACAAATAAGTTTTCAAAATTTTCTATGTTTCCATCATGTTTTCAAAATATTTCCGTTTTTGAGCTGAATGAAACTATGCGCTGAAACAAAATATTAATCCTTCCGCATTATATGGTAAATATGATGGTTCATAAAGGTAGAAATTTTTACAACATATTAGCACCTTAAGTCCAACTTACCCCCGAATTCTGAGAGAGTTTAGTCTCAACCTACTTGCTTATTCAAGGAAATATCTGTCATCACATGAAAAAGTATGAGGTAGAAGTGAATAAATTAAACATTTGTTCTTGACAGTCTATTGGCAGCACATACAACCTTCTATCCTCACCAAGAAGTAGCACTAAATGACATATATGGGACTTTTCTACAATGCAAAGTTCATACCTTTTCAAGCTCTTATTCTCATACCTTATTCAAGCTCTTATTTTTCAAGCTCTTATTCTCATACCTTTTCAAGCATGAAAGTTGTTATCTGCTATTATATAGAAGACAATTGTGGAAGCCTATGCTTGAATAATTGTTCCTGTATAGCTTATTCATATTACACAGGCATTGGGTGTATGCAATGGAGTGGAAGTCTACTGGACATTCAGAAACTCCCCAGCAGCGGGGTTGATCTTTACATTCGAGTGGCATATTCAGAGCTTGGTAATAGTGTCTTCTCTATCATCTTGTAGTGAATTATACTGCTATACTTATCCTCTATTTCTTTGTGTTTAATGAATATGTGGAACAATGTTTTTTTGACAATGGATTACCAACCAAGTCACGTGTCCTGTGGACTCGTCGTTCCAATATAAATTTCAAATGCGTTCACTCAATCCCCAATCAGGCGTATCAGGTAAACCAAGCCTCTATTGTTAGAGTTACATTTGGGACCTAGGAAATAATAATTCCTGAAATCATCCCATTCGAGCTACCCTGACGAGTTATGCGAGTGGATTTGAGTCATGGCATATTTCTAAAACTTTAGCCTTAAATTTGTTCAGTAAACTACTCTAGATTGTAACTCGAAGCTCAAATTTGTTCGGTAAACTACTCTAGACTGTAACTCGAAGCTCAAAACCTTTAATTTCAAAAGCATTCAGCCAAATGCAACCTTGTTTCTTTTGTCCAATTTAGCTGAACCCTTGAATTTGTTCTGTTATACAGATGAAGGAAAAACATCAAAGTAAAACTGACAGTTATCATTAGCATAGGGTCAGTTACCATTGTCATCTGCATCTACATTTCTTGGAGGTGGATAGCCAAGCGAAGAGGTAGTATGTTACTAGAGTTAGCTCAGAAGTATTTGCAAATACTAATTCTTAGATAAAATTACCTATAGTTAGGTTCCTGCAACAGGAAGGAAGCAGAAACCTGAAGCATCTCCTGATGATCCAACTGGAAACATTCTTCGAGAAAATACCCACCTAATGAAACTTGAAGAGCTGCCATTATTTAGTTTTGAGAATTTGGCAAAAGCAACTGACAACTTTCATGCTGCTAATAAGCTTGGGCAAGGTAATGCTTGTTCATTCGGGGCTTCAGGTGGTATTGAACAAAATACGATTCATTTGATGCTTATTTTTCCAAAGAAAACTTCCAGATGGACAAGAAATAGCTGTGAAAAGGCTTTCAAGATCCTCTGGACAAGGGTTACAGGAGTGTATGAATGAAGTTTTGGTGATTTCTAAACTCCAGCATCGCAATCTTGTTAGACTCCTTGGCTGCTGCATAGAAGGAGAAGAAAAGATGTTGATTTATGAATACATGCCAAATGGAAGTTTGGATGCATTTCTTTTCGGTTAGTTGATCAATTGTAGTTGTTTTGAGTCATTGCATCTGTGATATTTTTGACTTCATTCTATTAGAAGATGACAGGCTTCTCAACATCAATTTCCTGACAGCTTACAAACTTTTCATGCTTGTTCTTTCAAAAACAAACCTCTCAGATTCATTGAAACAAGAACTCCTAGACTGGGGTAAACTTATCAACATCATTGAAGGGATTGGTTGTGGCCTGTTTTACCTTCATAGGGATTCCAGATTAAGAATTATTCATAGAGATTTGAAACCGAGTAACATTTTGTTGGATGAAGAGCTAAACCCAAAGATTTCAGATTTCGGCATGGCAAGGATTTTTGGAGGCAACCAAGATCAAGCCAATACTAGAAGGGTTGTCGGAACATAGTATGTATATGTATCTTTCTCCATGTGATGAACTTTCTTGTCATGCAATAGTCCAACTTCATTACAATTCTTTTCCTTTCTATGGTAAATTGATATACACAACGGATATATGGCCCCTGAATATGCAATGGAGGGAAGATTCTCAGAAAAATCTGATGTCTATAGCTTCGGAGTGTTGATATTAGAGATTACATCTGGGAGGAGGAACACAAGCTTTTATGATGATGAGCACTCTTTTAGCCTTCTAAGATTTGTAAGTCCATTTTCTTTGCTAGGACAGATCTTTATGACCGTACCATTCTTGTCGACATTGAATGTTCCAAATCCAACACTAGATTCTCATCTTAATGTGTTCAGGCATGGAAATTGTGGAATGAAGATAAGATTATCGCTCTAGTAGATCCAATGATGTCTTATACAAACATTAGATCGGAGATGCTGAGATATATACAAGTAGGGCTATTGTGCGTGCAAGAATTTGTAAGAGATAGAACAAATGTTTCGACTGTTCTATCAATGCTTAATAGTGAAATTACGGATCTTCCTTCTCCAAAACAACCTGCATTTATCGAAAGACAGATGTCTTCAAAGACATGGCTTTCTCATCAGAGTCAAAAACAGTGTTCTATCAACAATCTCACTGTCACAAATGTTGAAGGCCGATAAAAGGGAAATCATGATAATTATTTTCGATTTTTGTTCTTCCTTCTGTGTAAATACGTTAGTGATTTGATTTTAACTTTCCTTGCAACATGTGAATTTTTTTATCTAGCGGATTGCATAAATTGTATCTTGAAATCTCTGTTATTTTGTTCATCTCAACTAATATCACCAAAATCCCCGTTAGAGGGGCTTGTTGAGTCGGGGACATGTGTATATTGTGTGAAGTTGCTTCCCAGGTGTTCGATGAATTGCCTTAGTGGTGGTTGTTAAGCATATAATGATATCTGGACTGTTTTGTAGTTTATTTTCAGGTATACTGCTGTGACTCAGGCCACAAGCTCTTACAGATCATTTTCTATATACTCCAAAAATCAGGTGATGGTGTTGGAAAAGCCGATATATTAGAACTCTTTCAAACTTGTTATTGTATGCACAATGATGAATTTTTGTTGACTCATTGGAAAGGAATAAAAATTATAACTTGTTATTAAAGTGTCCACCCTTAAATAAATTCTTAGCTTGCGGAATTGAGATCGAATGAATTGGCGTATGAGTAGGACTAATAAGAGTGACAATTTTTAAACAACGTGAAAAACAAGACTCGAAATTGACATAAAATTAGAGGGTTAGAGTTAATCATTTCTCGATATCATCGTGTAAATGACACGACTTGTAAACACAAATAATAAATGAATTGAATAATGTTAAATACAAATAACACGTTTAATTATTATTATGTGAATAAAATATCAAATTTTTTATTAAGTGTACAAAAAAAAATATATTTTTATTTATTTTTGTTATGATATTTATTAAATTATTTTTAGTTTTTAAAAAAATATGAGTGTACGATCAATTAAGTGATAATAAAATCTTAGTATTCGTAGGTTATATGACTCAATATGATACAAAAATAAACAAGTCAAATCGACACTACACGATTAATTACTACACGATTAATTAAATGAGTTGAAGTAGAATTGAAATGTATATGATCCGAAGTTGTAAATAACATGACCGGACACGATTGCTGCACATAAACTCTTTTGCTTAATCCAATTTTTTAATTTTTTTTTTGGAATTATACGAAAAATCTAAAATACCCACAAACCTGAACATCTGTTTTCTTTCTCCATCTTCTTTCTTTCTTGTTCTGGTGGGACTACCCAAACACTAACCATAAAATCCGCCCACCACCACCACCACTCCGCCACCCTGACTCAGATAATGTTTCGGTTTTCTTACCTTTTGCCCCCAAATGGTTTTCTCTTCCTTACATCCACCACCACAGTCAGAGCAACTGTGGTATTTTTTGCCTATGCTGGATTTGTGGCAGTTGCTAATTCAGCTGAAGTATCCGAAGGACCACAGGTATGTTTTATGTAGATGAATTTGATGCTTTGTGGCGCATCTGTAGCAGACACTATTGTCGTTTGCATTATCTCCATGATATACCAACTAGATTTAACATTATGCCTAATAGGAAGCCTTCTTGTTTTTATTGCATAATACATGGTACCTTAAAAAAATCTTGGAATCTGTTACTGGACTTAGTACAACCCTTTCTCGTAGGTAACAGCGTGGTGGTGGTGGTGGGGGTGGGGTTTAAAGCACCAGAACAATGGAAGAAGGTCGGTAATCATGTTCAGAGGATTAGATTGGACTGGGTCAGGTGAGTTTTTCCATCTGAATTCCCAACTATTTTGGTTTAATCCATGAGTTGCAAATGGGTCACTTCTGTTAGAAAAAAATTGCCAGAATTGATTGGGAGGTAAACCAGGGGCGGCCCAACCAAATAGGGGCCTAAGGAAAAAATCCGAAGTGAGGGGCCCTTATTGGTATCTCGGATTATAATTTATAGTGAAAATTAAAAATGAGTCACTTAGATATACTTGTTTGGAGATAAGTCATGCAAGAAAACTTATAAGGGGTAAGTCCATGTTTGAAATTATGATGACTTAAGTCAATTTTTTTTTTATTTCAAAAATATCATTCCTTAAAAGGAAGTTAATCTTTTCTCTGTCATATCTATATATATCCATATATAGATTAAGAGTTTAACTAACATTAAAATTTTTCTTCTCTTATGTATATATATATAGTAACATTAAAAAAAATAGGAACATTCAAATACAAAAAAAAGTTACTATAAATTTGAATAGTAAAATTTAAATTCATGTTACTATTTTTTTATTATGTTACTGTTTTTGTTGAGTATGTTATTGTTCATGTACAATTATTTTTTAGCATGTTACTGTTTTTGTTGAATATGTTACTACTATTATTCTCCTAAATATTAATATTCAATGTTACTATTTTTTTTTTTGAATATTACTATTTTTTGTATTTGAATGGTACTATTTTTTGTGTTTCAATTTGAGAGAAATAATTATTGTTAAGTATGTTACAATTTTTGTTAAGCATGTTACTATTTTTGTTGAACATGTTAATATTTTTGTTAAACATGTTACTGTTGTTATTTTTTAAAAATATTAATATTGAATGTTTAAATTTTTTTATGTTTAAATGTTACTATTTTTTTGTATTTAAATGTATTATTTTTTGTGTCCAAATGATACTTTTTTTTTGTATTTGAATATTAGTATTTTTTATTTTTAATGTTACTATATATGTATATACTAGTCATTGCCCGTGTCTGAAGGCACTATGTTACTTATAAAATTTTAACACACAAAGATATGATGTTTGAATAATTGCAACACATAGCGATTAGATTAGTTTTGAACATTTTTTGTTGATGCAATTAGTATCTTATTTTTCTTGTATTGGTCACTTATTTTTTTTTAATTGCTGGTTAACTTGGGCTTTGATTTTTTTTTTAATTTTCTGAGAACTATAGGTTTTCATACAGTAATGATTTATTTTTTGTATAAATAATAACTTGATAATTTTATTTATGGATTATAAAGACAATTTAAATTTCATTGATCGATAAGAAGTAAGAAGTAAACATCAACTATCGGTACTAAGATGCATGATAAGAAAATCTACTTATAATGTACTCTAGGTATGAATCAATTTGTAATAAGAAGGATGAAAAATTATATAGTATGTATATAATAGTTTTTAATGAAATATTATACCAAAGGTTTTGAAAAAATCGATATACTAAATAACTTACATATCCAAAAATGATGGCATTGTCTATTTGGGTACTAATTTTTGTATTGTAGTGACGATGTGTATGCAATTATTTGGGTCAAATGTTAAACTGTCAAACTTTGAAAAAGAAGCACTAAACTTAGAGATATTATGTATTTTATGTGTGTTTAATAAAAATATTTTTAATTTTATGCAAAGTTTTATCGTAAAATTAGAAATTAAACAAAATCAACCTAAATTAAGGTACAAATAATACACTTTTAACATATAACATTTAAATCATTTAATTTAAAATGAATTCAATTTGAGTTGTTATTGTGTTTTTTTAAATTTAAGATAGAGACGTATGAGAGATAGGAGTGCAGAGTCTTACGATAAGAGACTTCTTCATGGGCGGGAAAAAAAATTCAGGACTATCTGTAGACCTTTAGATCAAAATTTTTGAGATGATCTGAACCATCTGTTATGTTGGGATTATGTTGTCCGTTAGATGTGTTTATGTTTTACCTCAAAACGATCTGTACCTCTTTATCTTTTGGATTCAAACTTCGTTCTACTTTATTATATATATATAAGAGAAAATTTTTTAATGTTAGACAAACTCTTAACCTATATATGGATATAGATAGATATGAAAGAGAAAAGATTTTAATGTTAGTCAAACTCCTAAAATTTAAGAATTTTTAATTTTTAGTTTTATTTCACTTCTAAAGGGAAGGGATAATATGGTAAAATTGACAAAAAACGAAGTTTATAACAAATAAATTTCCTTGACGGATTTAAATCCAAACAAGTCCATATAAAGAGACCGGCCTCCAAATTTTTCTAATTTATATTATTATTCTACTTCTAAATGTACGAAAAACATTTATTTTCCTCTTTTATGCTCTAGCAATTCTTAAATATCCAAAATACCAAACACTTGAATAAGTATTCATTATAAAATACATTTATTTATTTGAGTGACTTTTATTGTCTCACCATCCATTAAATTATCTATATGTAACCTCTCAACTTTCCCAACCCTTTCTCTTCCTTGAGGCATCTTTACGGTCACCAAGTTATGTTTGCAATTTGGTACTGTAATTATAATAGTTGTAAATGTAATGGCAACAATTTTAACACTTCTTTTTTTCTTCATGCTCTCTTTTTAGTTTGATCACAGATAAGAAACTCTACAAACAATATCATTTTTTTTTTTGCTCGTTAATATTTGAGTTTACAAATGCTTGTTGGATTGAAAAACTATTGGAGTCATGTAAGTACTAAAATCTTTCTTGTGAGCCCCATTTTCATTACTATTTTGCCATATTAGATATAGACACTCCTAGAAATTGTCCATAGCTTTGCAGATTTTTTTTTTAAGATTACTGTTTTTACATTACTTCTTTCCCATAGCATAGCAAACTAAATTTAGTCGCCATGAGGGTGATTCACTAACTTCGGTCAAACATAGCCTTTGTGTGTAGCGGACGCTGCAAAGTTTCTATTACACTTTCTCATTGCATTCTCTATTCTCAAGTAATTTAATTAATTTTTTCTCCTGACACTATTCTGCCATATTAGATATAGACAATCCTAGAAATTGGCTATAGCTTTGCAGATTATTTTTTTTTAAGATTACTATTTTTACATTACTTCTTTCCCATAACTTAGCAAATTAATTTTAGCTGACATGAGTGTGATTCACTAACTTCGGTCAAACCCAACCTTTGTGTGTAGCGGACGCCGCAAAGTTTCTATTAAACTTTATCATCGCATCCTCCATTCTCAAGTAATTTAATTAATATTTTTTCATGGCAAGTAGTAATTGTGTGTTATTGTCATGTTTCTATAGTCCTCATGTGTATATAGGCTTCCATACATTTCTTGCCATCTAGACTTCAGGATTTATCAAGAATTGAGAAAAATTATTTTTCTTTCGATTTGGATAAATGAAAATTAACTGAACTTTGTTTATATATTTTTTATTTTTTATCCTCTTCCTCATGGATAATTTTTCCATATTACTAATAGTTACAAGATATGAACTTTGCTTGTTTTTTTCATTCTGTCTAACCAATTGCTATTGTTGGATTTCTTGTTTACTCAAGAACTAAAAGTGTTGATGACAACTACATATCAGATTTACATGGTCATTCATTGTCTACTAAAAGGCTTTTTTTGTCAATTTTTTTTTTCCGCAGATATATTTGGTAAATCTCAAAACCTACATCCGAACGCTTAGATCACGGAAATCCATGTTATTGTTATCACTAGAGGTATCTATTTGAAACATGTTGAGCACTTGAAAAAGACAAGAAATAAAGAATGAAGTATTTTCTCCAACTAATGTATTCAATGTTGTATTGGTATTTTTTTGTTATAGATGGGGTCCTTCATTGATAAATTATCAACATTTACTAAACAAATAGATTTCGTGAAGAACTCTTGGAGTCATGTAAGTACCAAATTCTTTCTTCTGTGCCCCCTTTTCACTATTATTCTGTCACATTAAACATAGACACTCCTAGAAATTGCCTACAACTTTGGTGATTTTTTTTTTATGACTACTATTTCTACTTTACTTCTTTCGCATAGCTTAGCAAATGAATTTTAGACGACATAAGGGTGATTCACCAACTTCGGTCAAACCCAGCCTTTGTGTGTAGCGGACGCTGCAAAGTTTTTATTATACTTTCTCATGGCATTCTCCATTCTCAAGTAATTTAATTAATTTTTTCTCATGACAATTAGTAGTTGGGTGTTATGGTCATGTTTGTATAGTCCTCATGTGCATATAGGCTTCCATACATTTCTTGCCATCTACACTTCTATATTTATCAAGACATGAGAAAATTTAATTTTCTTTCGATTTGGATAAATGAAAACTAACTGAACTTTGTTTATATATTTTGTATTTCTTTTTCTTTTCCTCTTCCTCATGGATCATTTTTTCCATATTACTAATAGTTAGAAGATATGAACATTGCTTGATTTTTTCGTTATGTCTAAGCAATTGCTATTGTTGGATTTCTTGTTTACTCTAGAACTAAAAGTGTTGTTGATAACTACATATGAGATTTACATGGTCATTTATTGTCTACTATGATGCTATTTTGTCAATTTTTTTTGGGGCAGATATACTTGGTAAATCTCAATATATAAAACCTACATCGGAACGCCTTGATCTCGAAAATCCATGTTATTGTTATCACTAGAGGTATATGCTTGATGCATGTTGAGGAATTGAAAATGAGAAGAAATAAAGAATGATGTATTTTCTCCAACTAATCTATTCAATGTTACATTGATATTTTTTGTTATAGATGTGGTCCTTCATTGATAAATTATCAACATTTACTAAACAAGTAGATTTCGTGAAGAACTATTGGAGTCATGTAAGTGCTAAATTCTTTCTTGTGAGCCCCGTTTTCACTCCTATTCTTTCATATTAGACATAGACACTCCTAGAAATTGTCTACAGCTTTGTAGATTATTTTTTTTAAGATTACTATTTCTACATTACTTCTTTCACTTAGCTTAGCAAATTTATTTTAGCCGACATAG